TGCACAGAGAGGGCATGGTTCACCGTGCCTACAGAGAATGTATTAGCTCTTTAGCTTCTACATTTGCTGTTTCTTTGAAAAATGCACAGATGGCTGAAGCACCTTTCTGGGACATAAATATTTACTCCACTCCCGTTCACAAAGGGTTGGGTAATGCTCAGTAAAAGTTCCACAAGAGTTAGATTAAGGTCCCAGGACAAGGATTTCACAAAACCAGATGACTGGACAACACAAAGGCAGATGGAATTCAGTGCTAATAAGTGCAAAGTGATGCACATGGAAAAATATAATCCCAGCTATAGATACAAAATAGCTGTTAACACTCAAGGAAGAGATCTTGGAATCATTGTGGATAGTTCCCTGAAAACATCTGCTCAAGGTGCAGTGGCTGACTAAAAAGCTAACCAAATATTGGGAATCATTAGGAAAGGAATAGATCAGGGATGGGGAAACTCAGGCCTGGAGGCCAGATGTGGCTCTCGGCTTGCCTTGATCCAGCCCTGCGGCTCAGGGCCCCTCCAGCATTCAGGAGCCTACACTGGTTCTCGAGTGTCCCTGCTGCCACCCTGAGGACTGGAACACACAAAATCTACTAGTCTGGTCCCCCGCTAGGTTCTGGTGTGTGAGGGGAACGTGAGGAGTGTCTTTCTCCTTCTCAGTTAGGGGCCACAGTGAAGGTTTCTTCCTGCTTCTCTCTTGTGTGTGGCCCTGACTGATTTTTCTGTGGGTCAGTGGCCCTAACCCAAAAAAGGTTCCCTATCCCTGGAACAGATAAGTCCAAATGCTATATTGCCTCTATATAAAGTCATTGTACGCTCACATCTTGAATCCTGTGTGCAGATCTGGTCACCCCATCTCAAAAGAGGTCTATTGGATTTGGAAAAGGTACAGAAAGGGCAACAGACAGAAATCATTAGGGGTGAGGAACAGCTTCCATAGGAGGAGAGATTAACATGACTAGGACTTTTCAGCTTGGAAAAGAAAATGACGAAAGGGTGGAGAGATATGTTAGATGTCTAGAAAATCATGAAGCGTGTGGAAAAATAGAATAAGGGAATGTTATTTATTCCTTCACTAATGTAACACAAGAAGCTGACCCAATTCAATTCATAGGCGGCAGATTTAAAACAAACATATTATTTTTTCTCAATCAGCTTGTGAAACTCTTTGCCGGGGGTGGTGGAAAGGACCACAACATATCGAGGTTCCAATAAGAACAAAATCAGTTCAAGGACAGCAGGTCCATCAGTGGCTACTAGCCAGAATGGGCAGGGATGGTGTCTGGCTTCTGTTTGTCAGAAGCTGGGAATGGGGGACAGGGGAGGGATCATGATGGCTGCTGCTTCCATTTCTTCCTTCTGAAGCGCCTGGCAATGGCTGCCGTTGGCAGACAGGACCCTGGGCTAGAAGGACCATTGGTCTGACCCAGTCTGGCCATTCTGATGTTCATCTAGAGCTGAAGTGTATCTGCCCCCTGCTGTAATCCACTAGCCCCCACTCCCTGTCCAGAGAGAGCACAAGAGTCCTCAGGGGGTCGGTGTCTCCACAGAGTTAGTAACACAGTGAGAATATACACTGACATAAGAACGGCCGTA